TATTAGGTGACAAAAGGCAGTAAGGAGACACACCTTCAGTGGCAAAGGTAGAACCGATTTCATCTTCCCTCCTCAGTTTGCCCCACATTTCCCCACGTAGAACCCCAGCCCTCAAATGACTGTTGCTTGATCAGATTCCAGAGGGGCAGAGGTTCCTATTCTTAGTCCCGTGGTCTTTCCTGGAAACCCTACCCAGTGGGGCCAGCTCCTGGGGGCATGTTGGACAATTCTGTTAAGTTAGTCTGGACTGAAGGGCCCTCTCCTAGGCTGTGGGAGCCAGGAACTCAGGAAGGGAAGAGGGCCAGCGAGGCAGTGACCTTTGGTTCACTGGAAAGGACTCAAACCCAGTAAAAGTTTAGCAAGTGTCATTTAATGGTTGCCAAAACTTAAAACCCATTCCTCTCCGCCCCCCAACACACACTCTCTAGAGATAAAAAGACCATTTGAGGTCTCTATACAAAAAGATCTTTAGTCTTGTTTTTTCTTGGAAGATTTCCTACCCACCTGCTTTTTGTTTTCCAAAGAGTTAACTTTTTATTATTATTTTATTAAAATGTTTATTGAAGAAAATTTGATATATTGGTATATTATTTTAAAATCACATTTCAAGAAATTCAGAAGAATGTAAGCATCTGTGAACAGAGGCTTTTTCCTACCCACCTGCTTTTTGTTTTCCAAAGAGTTAACTTTTTATTATTATTTTATTAAAATGTTTATTGAAGAAAATTTGATATATTGGTATATTATTTTAAAATCACATTTCAAGAAATTCAGAAGAATGTAAGCATCTGTGAACAGAGGCTTTTTCCTACCCACCTGCTTTTGAAATTAAAACAAAGTATGACATGAACTCAGTAATTTCAGCCTCTGAACCTCAATTTTCCCATTTGCAAAGACAACTGTCCCAGTGGTTGGGTAGGAACTGGTTGAAGGACAGGGGCTCTGGCTGCTGAGAGAGAAGTACAAGGAGGGAGCCCAGAATTCAGGCAAGAAACCTCTGGCTTGCTCAGACACCCCTTGTGGGTTTCTGTTGTTCTTCAATTCTCTGAACCCTTCTCACTATCCCCCTGTCGTGGGGGCTGGAAAAGGCAGTTATTTGCATTTAGTGTAAAATTACTTCTTTTAGGAATTTTTCCATAGTATAAAATTTTTCCTGACTTTACTCAATATTCATTACTGACCCCTTGTGCCAGGACCTGGGCTAGCCATCAGTAATCAAAAATAAAAGGATACCATCCCTGTTCTCAGTCTCCCCTAGTTTTCAGCCATGTGGGAACAGAGAGGAGAAATTACACTTTTGGGGGTAGAGGGGTGCAGCTGGACATTGCTTCTCAGGAAGCCAAGTTTGAGGCAAAGTTCCCAGTCCTATTTCTTTGCTGACTTTATAATCATCCCTCCTCTTGTTACGCTAGTCTTAAGGTTGTTAAAGAACCTTCAGAACCAGGATCTCACTTAACATTAGGAGAGCCTGGAAGGTGTCTTCAGTTTGACCATGAGAAAACAGAGCCTCTGAGAGATTAACAACCCAGGTGCTAGGGAAGGCCAGGGAGCTGGGGAAGGGAACAAGAATGTGAGAACTCAGAGAACTCAGAGGTGATATGGAGCCTGGCACTGGGGTGTGTGTGTCACTGATGAGGTGCTAGAGGCTGGGCCAATTAGGTCACAGTTGGGGGAGACAAAGTTCCCACCCTCCAAGCAGTCTCAGGGTTGCATAGCTAGAACTCTTTGTCTCTCCAGCCAGAATGCTAGTTTCTCAATCCATTTGCATCAGTGCTCATTACAATGTGGGCTGCATAGGAAGTCTGCATTTATATGATCTCCCATCTCCTTTGGGGTCTGAGGTTATAATTTTGAAAGATTTAAAAAGAAACACTCATGATGAATTTAAGCAAAATAGAAAAAAAGAATGCTTTTGCTCAGCACTGAGTACTTTGTGCTCAACATAGATCTCAATTGTTTTTTTTAAATAGAAAAAAGACTCCTGGGTAATATTAATAGTCTTGCTCCCTAGATGGTAGGGTTGTTTTCTGAACTATTTTATAGTTTTGAACTATTTAGTAATGAGCAATTATTGCTATTATCATCAGAAAAGTAATATATGTTATTTTTCAAAGAATCATCAACTTCATGTCACTTGTCATCTCTTTGGGCCTCAGCTTTCTCACCTATAAAATGGAGAGATGAACTATAAGATCTGAGTCCCTTTCTCTTTGAAAAATTCAAATTAATTTACAGGGGTAGCTGTGCTTAGAAAACTGACCAGGCTTTGGGTTCCTCTTAGAACTAGTAAGGCTGAAGCAAGGAGAGGATGTGGAATGATGATAGCAGGAAAGAGAGGAGGGAGCAGAGAGGGACAAGGTTGGCCAGCCTAGAGACAAGCTTGATTGGGAAGATCTAGGGAACTGGGGAGGTATGGAGTGGAGGAGACAATGTTAGATTTAGGTCTGTGAATGAATTGGAATCACTGAAGGCTGGAAGCACCTTAAAAACTTCGTGAAGTGAAGCACACATCATTGATTGGCAATACCCAATTCCTATAACAGGTTTCAAGGAGCTCTGGTGGTACAGTGCCTAACACATTCAACTGCTAACCAGGTGGGCAGTTCAAACCCACTAGCTGCTCCACAGAAGATGGGGCAAACTGTAAAGATTTACCGCCTTGGAAACCCAACAGGGGTTGCTGAGTTGGAATCTACTCAATGGCAGTCTACAGCAGACTTCACATTGGGTCTCAGTCAAGTGTTGACAAAGGCAGTTGGGGAAAACTAGGGATGCTCCCGGTACTGGCACACAACAGTTGTTGCCCAATAAATATTAATGAATATGCATTGGGAAATGTATCTCTAGGCCTTGATTTCCTCAATTGTGAAATGGCAGTTTAGGATGGAGATGATAAGTTATTGTGGAGCTCTGTGGCACTATGGTTAAAACATCAGACTGCTAACCAAGAGATCGGCAGTTCAGACCCACCAGCCACTCTGTGGGAGGATGTGGCAATCTGCTTCCTTAAAGATTTATAGCCTTGGAAACCCTATGGGGCAGCTCTACTCTGTCCCATAGGGTCACTGAGTCGGAATAGACTCCATTGCAGTGGGTTTGGTTTCGGGTAAAGCCACAGCAAGATGTACAGCCACACTCATTTAGAAAATCCTATTTACCACATTGAAGTTCTGGTGGTACAGTGCCTAAGGTATTTGACTGCTAGCCAGAAGGCTGGAGGTTCAAACCCACCAGCCACTCCAGGTAAGGAAGACTGGTCAATCTACTTCCCTAAGGATTTACCGCCTCGGAAACCCAATGGGGGTCACTATGAGTCGGAATCAACTTGATGACAGTGGGTTTGGTTTTTTGGTTTATTTACCACATGGAGGCTGAAGAAGCTGAGTCACTGGTTTGGGACTGCAAACCCAGCTCTTCTCATTCTAAGCCTTTGAGCATCATCTCCAACCTAAAAACCCATGTGGGTAAAGTCAGGACTGAAAGTAGGCACCGGACCTCAGGTCACACCTGGCGATGTCTGGCCAGGACGGAGATCCCACAGGCCTCCCTCCACCTCTCGCCAGTGGCATCCTAAGGCCTCATGGCATCTCTGGTCCAGGCCTCCCTCCACCTCTCGCCAGTGGCATCCTAAGGCCTCATGGCATCTCTGGTGGGGATCTCCCAGGCTGCTCCAGACTGCCAAGCGGAGGGGAAAGGGGTCCAGTCCTGGAGCAACTTAGCGTGACTTGAGCTGGGCGTCAGTTTCTAGTAAGGTGGCGGCAAGTGCAGGCCTTAGTCTGCACGGGTTTCAAAAGCTGGAGAAAACCCGCTGGGATGGCCGTGCGCAGGTGACCGGGTGTGTGCGCGCGTGTAGGGGGTAGAGATGGGAGTCGCAACGGCCCCGCCCAAAACTGCAAGTCCCCTCCTTGGCATCGAGCTCTGAAAACACCATAAAAAAGAAAAAAAAAAAAAAAACCACCTCTGAATAGGAGGCGGAGAAAAGGTGTGTAGGGGGTCTGTGACTGAAGGAGTGAGGACCTAAAAGCTGGGGGAGGGGTGACAGCAATAACGGAACCTTCTCGGCCTTTCGAGGCATCCTCTCCCAGGGCTAACCATTTAAGTCCCAGTGACTCGTTTCCCGCCCTGAGTCCCATCCTGTGACTGGGAGCGGGAAGGGAGTTTGAGATCCTAAGTCCCACCCTCTGGGACGTAGGCCCGAGAGGGGAAGTGATTTCCTCAAGGTCACGCAGCAAAATAGCGCCGAACCAGGGCCAGATCTCAGGTGTCTAGCTCACTTACCGTCATCTCCAAAACCTGGTCCCCCGCAGCCCTGCGCTCTGGAGAGGGAGGAGAGCGCGTACGAGGACTGGGCGACCAGATGTGGAGATGAAAAGGATGCGCCCGGTACCTCACAGTCCCAGCCCGAGATACAAAGAGAGCCCCCTTCCGGAAGCTGAAGACCCAGGAGACCAGCCACGGGCGCCCGTCGCGCGGGGGTATCGGAATGCCAAGGGACGAAGGGGAGCCGGGCGCCGGCCACCCGGCTCCACTTCCCGCGGGCTAAGACAGCGCGAAGCGCGCGGCCCCTTTAAGAAAGTTCTCAGGGCCAACCCATCAAAGTTTAAAAAGTCGTCGCGAAGAAGGGAGCAGGGGAAGAGAAGATAGGCAAAGGGAGGACCGCAGAAAAACTTCGCCGGAGGCCGGCGCGCAGCGGCCCGGGCCGGGGCGAGCCCGCAGTGGGCGGCAGGGATTGGCTGCG